GGTGGGTGGGCGGGCGCGCGTGTTTGTGTGTGTGTGTGTGTGTGTGTGTGTGTGTGTGGGGGGGGTACTTATTTCTCCTCTACCGTAAAGGAACGGCGAGGTGGGAAAAAAAAAGAGCTTGTAGCCCCCCGGCTTTGGGGCGGGGGGTAGCACTTGCTGTGTTTTATTGAAAATACCGTGCAACTCTGCAGTTACAGCCTCCTCAGAAACAGGGCCCAGGCTCCTCTCTGACTTATTTACCCATCTTTTTTTTTTTTTCCTTTCTTTCCTCCCTCCGGTGCATGTCAGATTTCTAAATCTTATTACTTGTCAAAGGAGATGTGTTTGGAAAATTTACTACTGCTGTAAACTCATTTTTTCTATTAACTTTTAATTCAAGCTAATTTAATAAGCATTAAATATTTAGAAGGAAATAGATGTCTCTTTTTGTTTGACTGAGGAGGGAATTAGGTTAAATTAAGCAAAATTCCTGTGCGTTAAACTATTTAAAATTATAAATAATATTCTCTGCTATATATTATATAGTATATAAATTTATATTTGCAAGTAATATAAGCAGTATTAATATAATTATATAATGTAATGTACATCAGACAGAGTTAAGATGAAGTGACTTTCAGTGGAGGGCAGATGAAGGAGCAGGCCAAGGGAGTGATCCAGTTCCCTGTGACTTGGGGCCTTGGGAATTTCGGGGATCCCTGTTGTCTTCTGTAGTTAGTGCTTGGGCTGACGGCAGCAGAAATTGGCTAATGCTGAGTAGTGAAAATCCCCCTCTCTCCTTCCTTGCCTGCGAAGGACTTTAAATAAAGTAGATAATATTAAAGGAATTGTTTTATGTACATTAAAAATGTTTTAGCATTTAACTTTTATTTTCCTTCTCTGTCAGTTAGAAGCAAGTGTTACCCTTTGATAAACCCTTTCTGGCATGAGAGTGTAAACATCACTGCTTCACACAGACAGCTTTTATGTGAGTAACTTTTTTATATATTTTTTAATACTTTCATCCATCTCTTTATTCCCCTCCCTAGCCACTTACAAGGTTTCTGATTCTGAGGGGAAGATTTTTCTGAGATTCTCTTGATTCTAGTAATTTTTTGCTTTCAGGCAGAATATATGCTTCTGTTGGGTGCCTTAAAACGGTATTTTTTCCCTCAAACTCAGCTGTTTCTCTAAGGTAGCCTTTGACATTTCTTTAGGCTTTTGGAGAAAAATCTCAAGATATATCTATAAATGCAGCAAAAGTGATGAAATAAGCCTTGGGATACTCATGCTCTTATAGTTTTCTTGCACTAAGAATTGGAAGTTTTAGTAGGAATAAAATCCTAGCAAGCAACTGGAAGAGCAGTACGAACATATTGACAGACTCATGGCTGATGACACAGTCTCGGTGCTTTCAAATGCGAAGGTGCAATTGCTGTAATCTTTCTTGCCTAGGACAGAGAGGGATAAGTCAAAATGATTGTTTACTTAATTAATCTTTCTTGCCTAGGACAGAGAGTTGTTCCTATATTTTGTTGCTGGCAATAGTGAGGAGGATAAGTCAAAATGATTGTTTACTTAATCACTTAATCCTTTGATGTTTACAATTTGCATTGCATTGCATCTGCTAACCACATGTGAGATATAAGTACCAACTATTATGGTAGTGATAGTCTAGATTTTGGGACAACAGTATTAGCATTTGAAAAGCTGTGTTCATGTTTGCAAAAGCTACATCTGTAATTTTTCTTAGGAAATAAGATTTTAGATTACAACTGTTCAGCTAATGCTGGATTCTGCCAAAACAGAGTTAGAGACTATACAGAGTTTTTTGTTATTAAAATGGTGCTGGCTTAGAAACAAAAGACAGCTCTTCAGTTGTCATGAAATGGTAAGGAAATATTGACTATGAATAAAAACTGGGTTCAAAGCTATGTTTACAGACTCCTTGAAGCCTCAGAGAAATCTGTAGCTCTTTCTCGCATCAAGTACCACTTCTGGCAAAGCTACTGGGCAAAGACTTCAGGCCTGCAAAAGCACTTGCATATTTTATGAAAATCAGAGGTAACCTGCTCCAAATAACAAGGTAAAAGGTCAGAGAGAGTTTCATTAACAGGATTTATTAAGGTTAGTTAAAATGTCCCACAGACTGCACTTAAAAAAAAAAATGTGCATTTTCAGTTTGGTGAGGCTGCAGACCCACAACGTTAGCAGCTGAACACAGGAAATGTCAAGACTTATTTCCAGGAAGTACAGGTAATTTCTAAGAGTCAAGATTTGTCAAGTGCAGAGATACTAACATCTGCTTCAGCCTTATACTTCTTTTTTAAGTAGTTTCTCAGTATAATCACTGAATAATATTTACGCAGACTGGGACAATCTTAGATCTTCATCTACAACACATTTTTACAAAAATTTTACAGGGCAATTGTGGGATGCTGAATTCTCACTGTTTCATTGGCAGATGAATTTAAGGAGTTTGGTGACACCAAGTTTGTTTCTTACCTGTTAATATGAAGTGTTAGAAGGACTGTCTCCTAATGCAGGCACTTGAGTCGCACATCAGGAATTCCATCACTTATTCTGAAGAATAAGTATTTCAGTACTCTTCCTGGCATGTCTTAGCAAGTACCAAAAAGTACCAAAAAGCCAGGTGAAAACCTGTAGCTGCGTACAAAGCGTTAGGCCTAAGTGGATACAGATGTGCTGGTCAGTGCCCAAGGACAAACCCTTCATTAGGGTTTGAAAAGCCTTCACATTTTGTCCTTCCACTCTTTGACTTGCTCTCCCATTCATCTTCAGCAATTCCCTTTTAGGCTTACTGCGAGCTTCAAATAGAACTCCTGACAAATAAGTTGGGTGTGCAAGTTAAAATTCTGTGCTAGCATTGGCTTTACTCAGGAGATTGAGCTAAGTTTTGTTAACTTTGATAGTATGACGTATTTTCTCATTGCTAGAGTACTCTTGAGCAATTTCTCAAACGGCTTAGGCACAAGCAGGCCTTGTCCTGTGCATCTACTCATCCTCTGCTCTCTTCAGCTGATCTGCAGAATAGTGGGATAATTTTATGTTCTTCTAAAACATCAGCTGCTGTCTAAAGAAAGATGCCAGTAGACATCCACCACTAGATTTTGTGCTTTTTTTTAAAAAAAAAAAAGTTTACTGTAGAGGTAAACAGGAAAGGGAAAATGTGTAAGACTTTATGAGCTAACATGAAAAGATGTATTTCCCAATGGAAATCCCTCCGAGGAAATAAAATGACTTATTTCCTTTTTCTGCATCTGTTCCATTAATTTGGCGTAATGGAAGCCTGTCAGTTCCATGCAGAAACTGCAAAGCTAGTTATGTTTCTGGGCTCTTGTTTACAAATGTGTTTTAACCAGCAGCAGATTTGAAAGATCTGATATATTCTCATGTTTAGCCACCCAGCTTGACCCTATCTAGTACTTTGCCTCTCCAGACGATGTTTTAACCCAGGTAGCTGAGTGACTGAGCCGCAGAGATCAGACAGAAACTATTCAACCAAACCAGAGAAAAGCCAAACTACTACTGTTACCTTCTGGAATTGCAGGGGCAGTTCACATGCATAATGGCAAAGAGTGGCATAAGTGTAAACAGGCGAGGTGTTCCCATTTTCTTTTGCATATCTGCCATAGGCTTTTTAATCTAAATAGCATTAATCTCTCCACAGGCGGTGGAGAGATTCAACCATACCAGATCATCTAGTCAGAATAAATTCAGCTGAGTCATCTGATAAGACACTGTAATGCACAACCTGCTTCTGCTTAATGAAAATGCCAATTTTTACAATTCAGGCAGTGATTACGGTATTTTGATGACCATTAGAATTAAAGACAATCTATTAGAAGTGACCTTTAAAACTGAAATGTGTCAGCAAAGGCACAGAATACATCTTGTCTTACCATGTGTTCTCCTGGGCCAGCTGAGGGAGGCAAGAGGAACTGTTTTCATGATGAGCCCATTCCAGCTCTCAGTAAATGAAAATAGAAAGATGTTGCAATGACTTGAAAGGAAACGGCATCAGGAGTCCTGGGCAGCTACGCCATTTTCCAGGACAAGAAATATAACATTAAAAATCAGATCTAAAGTGTCAAGGGTCAGATAGAGAGAAGGAAGTCTGTGCATGGAAGGAATACTAGTATGGATTTAGCTGATGACAGCACCAATGTAATATGTGACAAAATGGACAATTTATAAATGTTTCTTATATGAATCAGTTTGTACTCTGGGCTTGGTTCAAGCACTCACTTCCTGCAGGACAGATTGGTTGTCGGAAGAACAACAACAAAAAAAAGAAAATAGTGCCTCGCCTGGATACTAATGTTCCCTTTCACAAAATCCATGAACTTGACTTTGGGAACTCAAGAGACCTGTTGCTGCATGTCTCACTTATGGCAGGAGCATGACTTGTGCCTGATAACATAAAAATCACTTTCATTTACATCCTTTTATCTCCTTTCTTAGCTGCGACTGAAGTTGATTTTTACAAAACATATTGGAATTTGTTAAGTTGCAGAGACCTTTTTCATAGCTTTCCCTCTCTCTCCCCTAATGCTTGTTGCCTAAAACTGAATGCCCACAAAGCTCTTTTCTTTTCTCTTGTCACATCAAAGACGCTTGTATTATTTGACCAGTATACCAGAGGCTGTTTTGGTCCAAAAATGCAAACAGATTGAAAATTAGAAAACAGACTATTTCTTATGGATCTCATCTTTTTACATTTTTTAGTTTGGGGGCCCATATGCACTGCAGAACTGGGGCCAGTGCTAAAAAGAGCAACAAGAAAGGAAATATTGATATTTCTTAATGGCTACCTTAGTAGGTTTGCTCCTGATGCACAAAACAAACTGCATTAGGTGCCTATAAGGCATGACTAAATCCCTGAAAGTCTTGATTTGTGTTTTTGATTAATGACATGAACACCACAGCCCGTGGCTGATTTCCTGATACACATCACTTAGTGCTCTCACTTATCCCCGAGCCATCCAGTGGTGATCAGATAATGGCTGTGGTTTTCACTTACAAAGAACTGGAAGAAAATGTTTTCTTCTGTTATGAAACTCAGACTGTGCACAGCTGCTTATTCTCTCCACAGTACTCTTTTTTACAACATTGATATTCTTGGAACCATAAAGCTGCAGGGAGGTGAGCGTTTGTTGCAGGGAAACCATCTTTGCAGTAGCAACGATTATCAGCACCTTGGATATTATAATGCAACAGCTGCAGCAGCCAGTTGAGAGTCCAAGTCAAGTGTGCCCAAAATGAAGTATATAGAAATTCTAGCTTAATTCATATGATCTGATTTCTTTCTGAGCAACAGTGGAGTGGTGATTCAAAGAGGTTTCAGTGAGCACCTACCTAAGTGCTTACAGAAAATGCTATGGTGCATGCATACAAAAGTCTGAGGTAATTGTAGCATTGAGCACTAATGACTGGCCGCTTCTGATGAATGTTCTCATTTGCAAATAGTATAACAGCAGTAGAACAGGATCCATACGGCTTTGCTGTCCGTTGATAATTCCACCCAGTATCAGAGATTTATTTCAGTGCGCAAATGAAAACATAATTATATTTTTACTTTCTGCAGTTAGATTTCAGTTTTGCTTAGGGACTTGTGACTAGAGAAGACTAGAAAACTGAAACATGTAGCCCAAAGCCCAAGAAGTCAGCTAAGCATCCCGGGGCACCCTAATCCTGGGAGCTCTCCTCTGCTATCATCACTTCTCTGCTGAATGGGAGGCAGTTGAAGCGTTCGTGTCCCTGGGATTCTGGCTCAGAAGCCTTGGCTGCAGACAGCAGTTCTTTCTGTTGCTCTCCGTTTCTCTGAGTTGTTTCCTTCCTTTCCAGCAGGTCGGACTTTCTGAGTATGCTTTTTTTTTCATAGCCCTTTACAAAACAGACCCACCGGGTTTTTACCTGCTGCCTGCATCCTATTTGAGCTACAGGTTTTTGTGCAGCTTTCTGGCTATTTAGAGTTGTGGAAGATAAACAGATCCTTAATTTAGCTATTCCGAGCTGCTTCCATTTGGGGTATTTTTGATGGAGTGGCTATTACAGATTTCTAGAAACTATTTCCTATAACAAGGTGAGCAAACGTGGAGTTAGTTTAAAACAATGAAGCTATAGCATGTTCTTAACAGGAGGTTAAGAAGACTGCTAGGTCTGCAGTCAGCTGATTTTCTAATCCTTTCTACAATCTTCTGTTACAAGCTACTTCTCATCAAGTGCTGTCTTGGAAGGTAAATTAGAAATACCTATCAGATTCACAAAAGATCTAGACATACACTGCAGATGACACTCCTATAGACAGCTGGTCAGAGCTCTAGTAAAACACCCTTAGCTAGTTAATGTAAAGCTTCATGAACTCAAATCTAGCAAAGTATTCTTTGCTACCAAAAAAGGGATTAAAAAGATGATTGTCATCTTGTTTCAGCATTTTCGGAGTTAAACTATTTGCTCTCATGGACCACACTGAAAACCAAGTGAGGTATTCAGAAATAGATGTGGGAAACCAGAACTGTTTTATGGCACAGTGCATATACTCTTCCTTGTGCAAAATGCTTTGTGTTTTTTCAATACTAGATCTACGTCACCAGAATGATGTATGATATACATAAATATATACTTCAACCCAGTGTACAAAAAAGAAAATGTTTGACAGCAGAGTTTGTTTGGATTTTTCTCACAGATAATTGTTGAAGACAGAAGTACAGTAAAGATATTTTAAGTCATGTCCTTCCGTAAACTAATTCTGTCCTAATCAAGGAATTTAATGGCATAATATCATATGCCAGATGGCAGGAATTCAGATTCCTGAGTTGTTTCCATGGCAGCATTTCCAAATCAGTTTCCCAGTTGCAGGTTCCATGGAAGAGGCAGAAGAAGGTATTGGGTATTGAACCTGAGCAATGAGGGTGATAAAAGTGCACTCTAACCAAGTACAGCACAATTAACTATCTCATGTCAAAAGAGCTGCAGGTGAATCATAAGATACCCCGAAGTTTATTTTCAGTGGAGAGGGAGCAATAATCAGAGTCATATTGATCTTGCAAGCGACAGTCACAGATGTGACATAGCTTAGTGTAATCTAAGGCCTCTGTCACTTTGCTAAACCACCTGGAAGCAGGAGGGTAATCTAGTATGGACGTGTGTTTCCTGTGGTACAAAAGAAAAGGTTACATGTGGAGCCGCATCTTCTTTACCCACTCTTGTGCTAGCTAAGGTGACAGTGCTAGGAGCATTAGCTGACACCAAGCTACAATAATGACACTCAAAGAAACAGTAAGTGCTAGTGCTACTTTCCTAGGTAAAGTTTGTTATCAGCAGCTCTGCCTCACTAGTGAGGGGCATCTAGGAAATCACACAGCACAGGCCCAATCATGACCTTACTTATATGGCTGCCTCCCAGAAAAGTCAGGTCTGAGGACAGAGATGACCAATTGTGTTGGACTTCCCCCGTCCCAAAGGTCTGTTCATCTACTAGATTGTGTGGCAGATCTCTGTTCTGTCACATTATGCCCATCATATCCCTGACAAACCATCCTGACCGTATAAAACTCCAGAACTAACTTCCATAATTATTTCTCTTTTTGGTACTCAACTAAGATTTGCAGACACTTGGGACATAATGGTTTGTCCCAACCTGCTAAGCTGAAAGATGGATTTGACTGGTAGTGTCTGAGAGCTCCAGGCACGTTGTGTTCCTTAGCCAACAGCAGGAGCCATGGTGATTATGTTGAAGGAAAACTTAGAAAGTATCCTGGGACTTAGAACCGAGGAAAATCCTTTCTCTACTGCAGAACTCTGAATTCTGCTTCCCGTGTATCAGCTGGCATTGATGGGGAAGTGTATGGAATTCATTTGCTGTGAGAATATAGTTTTTAAAGGTTTTGTTAACTCACTGGGACTATTTGAAAGGATTCCTACTCCATTAAGAAGCACATATATAAGCCCCTGACATCCTACAAGGCCCTTCAGGCCCACTAAGTTCATTCTAATTGTTTTGTTCTAGAAGTGAACTGAGGTGTATTGATTTTATTTATTAGCCTTAGAGTAGTTTTCCTTTCAATTTACACCAACTTTCTTCAAATCACTTCAGTGGATTTACAGTAGTAGCTGTGAGTGTCTGGGGAAGAAGTTACTTTCATGCATCAATTGCTTCCTCCAAGAAAGAGGAAAACTGAAGATCAATTTGCAGATTCTTCTTTGTATAGAAAGTAACAGGAGGATAATCCTTACCTTTATTAGCAAGGTAATAATCAATCTTTACCTAATTACAAAATCAAGCTGGTGTTGCAGAGCAGTACTTAACAGATCACAGCTCCAAAGAAATGGAGTAAATTAATTTATCCAAAAGGGCAAAGCACAGAGGCAGCACAAGTTGTTCTACAATTCTGTCAAATCTTTAACATGGTATCGAAGATGCCAAGCAAGATCCTTAGCCAGGGAAAGTTGGTGTATCTCCACTTCAGTGACAAGTTAGTGATTTAAAAAATTGATCATCTGATCACAAACAAACTCTGATCTCATAAATTACTCCTTTTCCTTGAGGTCCAGCTAATGTTATGGTGTTGTTCCTCTTAAATTAAATGGAAGGTAGAAGCCTAGAACTCCTCAGAAAATGGTATTTAAATTTTCCTTTCTCAGTAACTCTGATCTTGATTCTGCCATGAAATAAATGGATGTTGGAAGCTGGAGGTACTATATTTTTTTCTTATTGTTCTAGGAAAGTATTGTGGATAGATGGCTTTTGATTGCATGAGAGAGAACAGTGAGACAGACGTGGTTTGTAATGGAAATAACAGCATGATATAAAAAATACACAGCAACCCACTGTTTGCACAGCTATTAAAATGTTATAGAGATCAATAAAGACAAATTTAAAACATTCAGCATAGGAGGAAGCCACCAGTATAAGTTAATGTACACTGTGGAACTGCTGTATAGAAAAATAACACAGAGTCAGAGCTGGATGGGAAAATTTTCTTCTAATGTCAACCTGTTGTTCAGCTACAATGAAGGAGCAGGTCAGCAATTTACTAGTCAATTCAGCAGAGAACACATAAGAGAAAATAAATGGTTTAACCAAAGCATCTGCTGGATATCACCTCCCAAACAGAGCAGCACCATTCACTGTGATATTTATTATTCAGATAACCAGGGATGCTCTTGGTTAAGGTTGCCAATGGCTACCTGATAGACAATGCACCACCTGTTGTCTTGTTAGCTTGGATATTTGGGAACAATCTAATTGCTTGAACATCTCCATGTAGACATACCCTTTATCTTACTAGTCTCTATTTAAAACACTGTGATCTGTGAGAGGTTTGCTCTGTGTGATGCTGCTTTCTCCATGCATTATTTGTTCTGCCTATTTAAACTAAAAACTCCAGAGATTGTCCCACTGCTTGTTTGTGCAGCACCTGGCAGAGTAAGACTGAATGTATAGCCTGATCAGGGCTATACATTCAATAGTGATGCATCTAATGACACCATAATACGATAATAACATTCTTCATTTTTCTTCAGACATGCACGGGACATTTGTCATCCTGATGCCCCTCAGCCTGATATTGATGATTTTTGGAGGAATGACTGGATTCATCAGTATTCTTGCCAGGGCCTACCTACTGCTTGTAATGACTGGGCTGCTTTTTCTTTTTGGAGGTACCATATCAAACTCCTGGCTTAATCATTTTAGATAGTAAAAAATTACATCTGGGAAACGGTATTTTGCCTTCTAGGGAAAAGAGTTAGGCAAGAATCTACTTTCAGAATGCTGCCAGTGTTCAATCACTTCGTGTCTAACTCTTTTCCTGTTGGGGTTTATTTGACAAATATGATGAACTTGTGTACATTTAATATGGGTTATCTTTGCTGTAAAATGACATGAGAGTTCTTCTGTAACCCCAGTGAGATGGGGCTTTATTCATAACAGCAACAAACAGAGTCCTAATGCTTGCTCCAAACACAGGTGTGACGGGAGTGGGTCTCAACCCATAATAGTCTGACAGGGGTCCTGAAAACACTGCTCTGTAAAGTCAGCCTAGGCATGAACCCCTTCGTTTTTTTCTGTCATTAGCTGGACTAAGAATGGCAGCACTCTTCGCATAGAAGAAGAGTGCAGTTACTCTACCCAAAATCCACTAAAATACACTAAAATCCCCCAAAATCCGCTGCTGCTGCTGTCTCGGCTGCCTGTTACCTACTAGCACCGGACTCTTCTGTCTTCATTTCCTAGTGACACTGTCACATAACCAACTTTTTGCTGGGGTGGAAATTCTGTTTTGCTCTTATTTTTGTTGTTTTTATTCAGATTAGTAAAGTTAAATTTAATATTTTGAAATGCTCACAAACAAAAACCCGAAAAAGTTATTTTAGTTGAAGTGTAACATTTCATTCTGAATTGAGTGAAACTCTTTTAAAATCTGTGTTTTTGTCATTATTTTTTGTGGTAACCAAAACCCTCTGTGTTTTAGAATGCCGTTTATGAATTTAAAAGCAAGACCGGATAACTGAACTTAAATATGTCTCCATTTTCTTCCCCAAATAGACTTTCAGTTTCACAATGAAACTTGAAACAGAGTTTTTTTTTTCCAGCAGAAAATGGAACCCTCAGCATTGGTCCTTACCACCTGATCATGTAGTCCTGTTTCTATGAAGAGAATGACTGGAGATTGCTGGAAATAAATGTGCAGCTGTTTCCAAGTCTTGGCTGACCTTTGCAGTCTGAAATGCTTTTACAAAGACCAAGCAGCCCCCTTATGTTTTTCCTTTGTGAAAAATATAATTCTGTTTCCTTAGTACATCAAAAAGCTATATCCACTAAAAAAGGTGTACTTAGGCAATTTGGAATCTGATGTAAATAGAAAGTGAAAGATGAAAAGCTGTGAAGTACAGAGCATAATTGTCCTGCTGAGGTATGGAGGACCATGCGTTCCCAAGAACCTTGGTTTGCAAGGAAGGACGAGATGGTATGAGGAGTGGTGTTAGATTTATTCTGAAGATGCAACTAATGCTGTGTCCCAGGACAGCGTGGAAAGACTGGAGAGTGGCCTTTGATGTGAGGTCAAATTATCCTCCTGCTCAAGCAGTGTGGTCTGGCTGGTTCAGCTGCTCTGAGGCTTGTTATATGTAACAGCTAAGCACATTTCTATAGGTTTTTTTTTAGTTCATGAAGTTTGGTATTGATCAGATAATGCTCTCCAGATAAAAAATGCTTCATGGTGCAGTCCCAGAAACTGCAGTTTGGGTTTTGTGAAAATACTGGAAAGGATGTGTTCCAAAATCCAGGATATTCTACTTCCCTATCTCCTAAATATGGCCGCATTTGAGAAAGATCACAGAAGCCAACAAAACTTGTTGAAAACTTCAGCAAAACTGTCATTTGCATTTCTGCTGCCACAAAGTATAGAGAAGCACAGAGTAAGACACAATCATAATAGTATGGTGTAAATGGGGAATGTGAATGTGGATTTTGACTCTTGGATGATGCAGTACTCTTACTTTCCTTCTATTTAAATTTATCTTCCTGACAAAAGCGCATACACGCCTTGACTTGTACTTTACTTTAACATAAAGCCAGATCACTCTTAGAAGATAAGGCACTATTTTGTCCTAAAAGTGTTCCAGTATCTTTTGCTGTGGGCCAGTCTGCTGTTTCAGGGAGTTCCTAACTCCTCTTTCCTGCCCGTGATCCAGTACAGGTGTGAGGTTCATATTCTTGACTGTCATAGATGCCAGGTACCTAATCTACCACCTACCTTTCTGAATCGCGCCATTCCCACCTTGGCCAGCTTCTGCACAGCCCTTTCTTCTGAAAACAACTATCTCTTTGATCAATTGCCTTCAGTAATTCATTTCTAATCTGCTCCAATGATATCTCTGGATCGATTATTAACAAGTGCTGAAGGGCCAGGATCTCACAACACCTGGCAGTAAGGACCAATATGTTTACACAGAACAATCAAAACTTAGGATGCCTCAAACTAGAAACCAACCTAAATTCAAATTACTAACCTGAAGTGCAAGGATGTTTTTCTCCATGGGATTTCTCATGTGAAAGGAGACAACTGTACATAATGCAGAGCAGTGAGAAATTAGCATTCATTATAACACAGTATTGCAAACAGATATGTATATATATTAGATATCTGTAAAAGACTACACTTATAGGCTTACTGGTAAACATTTTGAGTTAGTATTTAACAATTACAGTACATTATAATACATCAAATCGAATGGGCAGAACTAACCCTCAGTTTACTTCCATTCTTCTTGCCTTTGCAGAAGAACAGCTTCAACTAGATTTGAAATCCTAATCAGGGGGCTAATCAGGAATCCTGCCTGAGTAGATAAAAATGGAATGTTAAAGGAACCCCAAGAGGTGTCAGACTAAGTAGTTTTAATTTCTGCAGGGGATCCTAACTAGCTGAATATGTTTTTCTTTCCTAGCTCTTGTCACACTTACTGGGATCAGCGTCTATATTGCGTATTCAGCTGCTGCCTTCAAGGAAGCGGTTTGCCTGCTGAGGAGTAAGGATCTCTTGGTGGAAATCGACATCAGATTTGGCTGGTCTTTGGCACTGGTGTGGATCTCCTTTGCTGCGGAAGTGCTCACCGGCGCTGTGTTCCTCCTGGCAGCAAGAGTAGTGGGCCTGAGACGGCAGCGTGAGCAGACGTTGTGAACAGCAGGCAGCAGTGCCCTGCGGAACGTTGCAGGGCCCAGGAACGTGGATCACTGGGTCTGTCTGCTCCCTAGGGATCATGAAGCGATTGGGCTGTGACTGAGTCTTGACAGTTGTCGTAAACTCTTCCCCTCACAAAACACAAAGATTCTGATAAAGCTGTAAAATATTCCAAATGCTCTCAATAAGGAACGCTTTGTGACTTTAGAAGAAAGTGCATTATACTGTTAATACTTCCAAAGCAATTTCAGCTGACAACTCATGAGACATCTCCATTCATTGCTTAGAAGATGACAGATTTCTTGCTCTCTTCTCCTTTCTACTGTCATAACAAAGTACCTCAGAGTGCTTTGCAGGCCAGACTGCACAGTCCAGTTAGGCTTGATTTTCTTTTCTGAGTCTCCTATGAAGTAAGCCCAGGGTCTCAGACATATTGACAGCCTTTGTTCATCAGAAACTGATGAAATTGTTAACTATGTGTGCCCTTTCTGCAGCCTTTGGAGGCCCATAGAGGTATAATACAAATATATGTATACTGGAAACCAAGGAGGCAGTGTTAAGGTAAGTATCCTCAATCAGTAATTCACACCTTAAGGCAGTTTTGTTGTACAAATAAGGCTGCAGGTAAAGATAGAAATAGGAAATACTTCAGGCTGTTTGAAGAACTTCAGTCAGAATCCCCAGCACTAGGACAGTGCTAGAAAATCTACTGAGATAAACATACTTTTTACTCTGGTGTTACTTGCTTTCCTTTATTTTTCTTTTCCCTCATGTCTCTCCAAAGAGATTGTCCTCTCTCCTCCATCACAGTCACACTGTTCTTTTAAGAAAAAGAAATAAGTCCATCTCCAAAATAAGCTTTGGTGCTATGATAAAATGAAGGGATATAAAGTCTGGATGCCTTGAATGACTTGATATTAGTTATCCTGCAGACAGTAGTGGCTGTGGTTCCTAGTGGCTGTGGTGAAGTTCTGCTGAAGTGCAGCATAATGGTGAGTCTGCTTCAAGAGAAGCCACCCCTGCTTTTCAGATGTTTTAACAAACTGCTGAAGCCAATCCCAACCTGACAGATGGTCAGACTACATGGAAGCCCATAATTATCTCTTCTAACTTATTAGCTGCTTTTTCCATTTAGTCACCCAGAAAACCTATGTGATAGTTTTCCAATTTTTACTTAGCAATTTTGATGATGCTTTGTTATATGAAATCAATAACACGCTCTGTGCTAAAAGATGTTTAACTTGTGCTAAAAACACCTGAATAAAACTGGTCATTTAGGACACCTGAATTTCATCTTACATGCAAATAATCTTTTTTTTTTTTTTTTTTTTTTTTTTTCCCCTCTGGCTAATAGTTTTTAAGATAGTTTACATCTGGTCCTACTGATATTATTATTTTTTTTTCTCCAACTGCTGTGGCCTGGGCTGACCTGAATGAGTTAATAGCTCCACTATGTTTCTACTAGATCAGGAATTTCTGGAAAGTTCTTGCGTATTCTACTTCAAGACTGTGATTCAGGAGCCCAAATTGTGTTTTGAGCTGTGTCAACAAGGCACACTGTACTCTTGGGCAAGTCCCTTGCCATTTCTACTGTAGTGGAAAGATGCTTCCTCCAGTGCAAAAGGCATAATTTACCTACCTCTGTTAAACAGGAAAATAATTTTCTCATTGTTTCTTGTGCCAAAAATTGCATGTTTACTCATAGGGAAGTATCTACTGAGCTCAGCTCTGACCTTAGTCCCAACATACCAAGTGTTTTAGAAAAAAAATGCTGAGAGACAGCTTTCAGGAAACATTATTATCATGTTGTGAATGGAGACCTGAGGCAGAAAAGGATTCAACCGCCCAAAGTCATAGGGAATCAGAGTTTCTGTAACCCAGGCCTTAGCTGGGGGACCTTTCTTGTCATGAGGATCAAGTCAGAAATTCTGAAGTTAGGTGACTGAGCAGTATAAGTTCTGTGAACAGCCAGTACAATTTGTACTTTTCAATAGCTCTCACCTTAATTTTTCACATATTTTCCATGTTTCCTTGCATTGGGGTTGTACAGTGGAGTCAATTGATGAGTTAAAGCAAATCAAATCAGCTCTGGCAAGAAAAACAAATTCCATGTACTTAAATGAATTATTTTACAATGTCTTATGCAAAATGTAAACTCTGTGTTTTAGTTGCTGGTGAAGCTATTTAACATTATCACACTTCTTGTATATTAATTTGCATATTAATGTTTATTATGGATATTCTTTTATGGTGGTTTTGAATGGTGAAAAATTAAATAAAATGATAGCTGGGAATTATTTACAAAAATATGAAAGATCTAAAATACGTATTTCTCAACTTTTTTTTCCTGCAGATCTATTCTACAGTTAATGTGATGCTTTTGAAGTGCCTGTGTCATATGTGGTAGGTATTTATCAGATACGTATGTAGCTGCAATAAAAATTCTCAGATGATCAAGAAAGATCACAAAGATCCAGTTAATTTGTCATTGAATTAGTTACTCGCATTTCTGTGGATTTATTAGATTTCTCATTCTGGCTTTTTGCAATCCCTAGCACAATAGTAATAAAAAGTGTTTCCTGCCCCGTAGATTTGTATAATCCCTAATTTGTCTTAAATTCATTTAGAATACCAAAAGAAAAAAGTATGGAATAGTTCTATGAAATTTGAAGGATTAGACTAGAAAGGGAAAATTTTGGAGAGGATTTCATCTGATTTAATGCAAGTGTTCTTACCAATTTCTTAATCATACTGAAACTATTAGTTATTTAATATCCAGTTGCGGCCACATTTTCTTGAACATGTGTTACTGTCCTTGGAATCAGCACAACCATACTCAAGAGGGTCTCTCCTGAGCCTCAGCACTCCCAATTTGACTCAATGAACATGTTCATCAGCCACGCAATTGAAAACGCTCAGTGATTTGGCCAAAAAAATTTGGAGGCCAAAAAGTGCTACCTTGAGGGCCACATTTGACCTGCAGGATTCCACACTAGCCCGTCTTCAAAGTGCTGTTTCCCACTTTCTGCCACTGCTTTTCCCAGCTGTGTTACTGTCACCTTCAGGACACCATCTGCCACCACTGCCAGGAAATGCAGTAGTGGCAGATGCTGCTGTTAGCAGGGGCAGTCTCCACTACTGGGCTATATCCTGCTTTGGTGAAGTATGTGTATTGCTAGTGACCATAGCTGGAATTTGGGGACTATGGACGCTTTCATCTTCTGTAGTTTATTGATTTGTACAGAATCAGCAGTCTCTGCTGACATCTTGTGGCACCACTGAGCAGTTGGCTGAATTTGGAAAGAAACCATTTTAACACATGCTGTTTTCCGTATGACTTTAAGAGCAGAGGAGACTTCTATGCTCACTGGACCCTACCTCTTTTTTTTTTCTTTCAGTAGTGCACAGAGTCTCATTTAACAACTGCTAAATTCCAGTCAGTAACTTAGTGCTTTAGGATGCAGCTCCTAGCATCTGGTCACCTTAAATTGTCAAATGATGGGAAACATAGCGTTGAACTTTCTTGTTTTTAAAAAATATCACAAGACATTGTTAAATCTTTTTACTTTATTCTTTAGCAAAGGAGCCTACAGCCATTTTGCAGACAATTAAGTTTTGAATAGACCAAACAGCATGGATTTTAGTTTGCATTTCTGGCATAAATGTCAAAGCTATCAAATTGAAATGCATTTGAGGCTTAAAATAGTAAGGGAAAAATAGATATCTTTATAGGAAAAATAGAGAGCTTTCCTGAATACAACAGACTGTCTAAGAACTGAACAACTGAGCTGAACAGGCTTCAGGATTGGTCCAGAAAATGTGAGTAGAGTTCTGCAGGAAATAGCATTCCTATACTACAATCCTCAAACAGATAAACAGTAGTTGGTTTCAGCCTGCAGGTTTGAGGTACCAAGTATTACAAGCAAAGGAAGGGAAATGCAATGTCATATCCCACAGTAACGGAAGCAGGATTGACAGATTGAAATCCCTTGCGATGCATGACCTGGTTTCTCACACTATCACCTAAAAAAACCCAGGTTCCATTGCTATTGAGAACAAGGCACTGAAGTGAATACTTGCAAAAATGTCAGAAAAGAAGATCCCTGACGGGATGCTAAGCTTGCAAGTTATCATGAGCTATTGCTAACCAGCCAAGCTTCAATATATATTCTTTCAAGTCATCTCCCAATGCTCTTCAGATTTGAAAGGTTTATTCAGTGCACCACCTCTGCAGCCCATGCCTGTGGTGCCTTAGATGGTGGATTTAACATTTCTACTGGAGCACACTAGAGCTGATGAGCTTTGTTTTTAAAAGTGGCACCTCAGTCCTTGTGATAATCTTGTTATACCACTCATTTCAGAGCTAGCTGGAAGACTCCTTGGTTGGGGGTTGAGAGATGGCAAGCAGTTCCCTGAAGAGTTTTTGGCTAGTTATCTTACTATTTTCATTTTTGCCAAGGACAAAGCAAACACTTGTCATGGACTCTCTCTGTGCAATGCTCCCTAGGTGTTAAAATGAATTTGGCTGCCAGTGGCTGAACTGAATTTGCTCTTGGCTTATGCTTCTGGACAGCACATCTGGTTGCTGAAGGGGCTGATGTATTTCTGTGCTATCCAACCCAGACTCCTCAAATATTTATAAGCTAGTGTTGTGGGTAATGCCTGCAGCATACAGAGAGACTCAATGTGGAGGAGTCTCTTTTCCATAGCCTTTTGGAGTTGGCTGCATCAGCACTATGAAAACCCTTTGGCATCATAAACCTGTTATTGTCACAGCTCCCGTTGGCCTAGTATTGTACAGTGAAGCATTTAATTATGCAGAAAGACACATAAAACGGTTTTATAACTGTCGGGCAGAAACCCGTAGAAGCAAAAGAAGCTTGTAGCACCTACAAAACTAAGAGTTTTGAGTTCTGTTATGTGCTTTTTCTCTTTGGAAACACAATCCATTACAGGTATGGCAACATCTGTAGCCAACAAACTGGGCAGGTGTATCTCCT